CGCCCCCATCGGGCACGCCCCCTCCCGGGTTCTTGGGGCGGGGCCGCGGGGTAGATGTCGTCATCCGGGCTGCGGGCGGCGCGGGCAGGTGCGCTCGAGGTGGTTGGAGGTGGGGGGCGGTCGGCGCACCCCGATTGGGGCGTGGGTGCTCCCAGGGCTGGAGCCTCGCCATCCCCCCCCTCCCCAGGCCTCCGGGCGCGCTCTGGCTAGGGAGGGGCCGGCCCGGGCGGGCGAAGTTCACCCGGGGACAGAGATCCCTTCAGCCACTCGGCACATTCTTCGCTCTCTTCTTCCTGTAATTTTTCCAGCGCTCTAAGGTTTAATTTGTCGCAACCCGACCCAGCGGCGGCGCTGGCCGACGCGGGGGGCGGTCCCAGTCCTCGCTCCCCACCCGCGGCTCTTTGTAGGAGCCCCAGCCCATCCGGCCGGCGGGGGCGCGCCCGGCCGCAGGGGGCTGCTCCGCTTTCTCTAGGAAGGCGCGCTCTGATCACCGCCCTTTCTGGCCCAACTTTCACCTGCTCCTGGGCTGGGTGCGGGTAGGTGGCACCTGTACCAGGACCGCCCGCCTGAGCCGGCAACCTGGGGTGGCGTAGGGTCACTCGCTTCTGCGGTTTCCGGGCACCGCTTCGCAGCGCTCGGGCCCCAAACTCGGTAGTTGACTCGTATATGGAAGCCCTCCCCCCACCCCCCTTGTTTTTTGGTTTTAACACAGCGGTGCAAACATTTCGTTGTATTTCCTTTGAGCTCACGGAAACTCTTCTGTAATCCTGAACTCTTTTTACAGCTTTGAGGCAAGTTCACTACAAAACACTTAGTTGCGTTGCTTTGTTACCAGGGGCTGTACTTTTGTTGTTGCTAAAACAGTTAAGTGGCTGACCAAAAAGCACAGGAAGACACTGAGGCCGTGGAGGCTAAAGCTCAAGGCCTTTCTGCCCGTTTGTAATGGGGCGTGCCCGAGCTCTGCCGATTTCTAGGCTAGGGGTTCTCAGGCGAACTTTTTCCGCAGAGGCGGGGTGGGGGGTGGGGGTTGGGATGGTCCTAGCCCTTTGCTGTGGCCGCCCAAACCGCGTGGCAGGTGATGGGGTTGAGTGAAGGCCGGGCCATCTCCAGGCATTTAGAGCCAAAATTAATGGTATGTGAGAGCCCGGGAGGTGGGTGGGGTTTCTGTAGGGCTCCCAGTTCTGCTAGGAAAAGCGGCCGCCGGGGTGGGTGTGGCCGTGGGGGAGGAGCAGAGCTGGGTTCAGAGAACCTGATGGACCAAGAGTGCTGGGTGGGGTTTGGGGGTGTTCGGCGACCAACTATCGGATTGGGAAATCTTGGTGCAGAATATTTCACCGTGGCTTCCCACTTGCAGTACCGGGTAGCCGATCTGGTGAAAGGCAGAGGACTCGCCTGTAGGGAGGGGCTGGTCGTCGTGGGCGGGTTGGGTCCAAGATGTTTTTTTCCTTGTTGCCTCGCTCCTCCTTTCAGTCTCAGTTGGCGTTTAGAAAACGTTTGGGGGCGCTGAGGACCGCGTCTTCCGTAGTGGGGAGGGAGCCATTCTCTCCGGAGCGCCAGGAAACTCAAGAGCAGGTAGAAGAGGATAGAGCCGGCCTTCTTTTTGAGTGCCAATAGTGTGCTGTGCGACCAAGGGTAGGCAACCGGGGCCGCCCTCCTTGTATGCCGAGATAAGAGGGAGGCGCCACCTTCGGGTGGCTGTAGAGTTCCAGGCCCTCGGGAGAGCTGGGGGAGGTGGGGGTATTGGACGTCTGCAGATGTCTAGGCTGCATTTTATTTGGTACCCAGGTGAGTCTGATGACGATAGTTGCACATCTCAGATGCCTGCCTCTGGGTGGAGTCTGGTTCAGCCTCGGATCGGGAAAAGCCCTGGGAAGCCATTGCCCGATCTTGCAGCGCTTAACTAACTCACGTTCGTAAGGGAAATAGTGAAGGTGTTGGGCAGAGGGCAGATTCCAGCAAGGTGGTCCCAGGGGCTTCCGCATAGGCGCTGGCTCTGGCGTGGATGTGGTCTGGTGTGTGAGTCACAGCGGGCAGTGGCTAACCGAGGCCGTGCCATGCCTGCTCCATCCCAATACCGGCCTTGAGAACGATAGTTTTTGGTAGGAGTGATTATAACAGCCACCTTAGCTAGCAGGTAGCCGGCAACTCTGTGATATGGAGCTGTTCCCCAGCCTCGCTGTGGTTTTGTGACATGTGCCATGACCACCTGGAAAGCTGGGGTGAGGGCTTGATGTTTAGTGCCTTTGGGAAGGGCAAGGGTCCCTAGCCAGGGCTGTCCTCTGATATGGACGCCTGAACAGCTGTTTGCAAAGAGCTCCCCTCCTGCTTAGCTACGAGGTAATGGCCCCTCCCTCCCTAGTAGTTCGGTGGACCCTTGCCTCTCGCATTTCGGTAGTTGGTGTTACAGAAAATGCATAAAACAAGCAAATAAACAAGTCCAAGCCACTTGTTTATTTAATTGGGACCTCTCAGCTTATACTTGGGGAATTTGCTAACCTTACTTTTGGAGGAATAGCAAGGCCAGGAGCAGGTGGTTTTGGAGGCTGGGGGATTTGAGGTGGAAATGGAGGACTTCCAGAAGGCCTACTCCATTGAGGAGCAAGCTCTCCTGCATTTGGAGAGTCTGGCGTGGCTGGTGGGCCTGCGGTGGAATGGTGGTCCACTCGGTCTTCTGACATCACCCTGAATAGATTCCTACGACCTCTTTGCTCCCATAAAGAATTGTTTTCAAAACTATTTCATGCTGTTATCCTTGTAGCACCTAGAACCAAAATATCTCCTTGTATGTTGCCTGGGCTGGGCTACTTGGTGGCCCCCAAGGTACCCCGAGGAAGGTAAGCACAGTGTTGGGTATAGTCCCTTCCTGGAGGCAGGGGTAAGGTTTGTGGTCGCCGGCTCTTGATTGGAGCAGGGGATGGGAAGTACAATAAGATCCTTCTTACTGTCTCCTGAATTAATTCAGAGTCGAGGTTAGCCTGAAAATTTATCCTTCCCCACTGAGGTGGGGATTAGTTTCTGCATGGGATTCTTGGACAGTGTATTTCAGCCTCCTCGGAGTGCGCTCTGACCTCAGAGCCTCCTTTCCAAGATGCTGCTGGGCCTCTTCTCACTGGCACTCTCTAACCTAGCTGCCCAGAAATCAGTCTATCTGAGCAGAGGATGGCTTGGAGAGGAGGACTTCTTTTTTTTTTTCCCCCTTCGAGACAGGGTTTCTCTGTGTAGTTTGGGTCCTGGATCACCCTCTGTAGACCAGGATGGCCTTGAACTCAAAGAGATCCACCTGGCTCTGCTTCCTGAGTGCAGGGATTAAAGGCGTGCGCCACCACCGCCGCCACCACCCGCCTTAGGCAGGACTTCTTTTACCTAGGGTAGAGCCAAGCTCCTTGATGGGCAGCCCTTTGTCCAGGAACATGCCTCTACCAATGGCTCCTAGCCCTGCCCCAAACCCCAGACTGCCAGTGGTCTCTTCTGAACCCTTACAAGTATTGCACAGAACTGTCTCCCAGCTACCTATTGCTACCTGCACTGTGCGTCTCTTTCCAGGCATCTCCTGTGGATTTGCATGTGTGCATACCGCATTGACATTTAAGAAGTGCATGAGTAGGATCCTCTGCGGGGTTCATTCCATGTGTTTACTTAAGGAGACAATAGTGTTCTTTATGGTGTGAGTGTTTGATGGTATGGTCAGTTATATGGCCAGGCCATGACTTCTGTGACCTCTTGTCACCCATGGAAAGCGCAGGATTTGGTTGTGCTGTCTACCTGGTAGGTGACCGTCTTGATGCCGAGGAGTGGATGATTCTGTAGAGACCTGGTGACATTACTCACGAGCTGATTATAGCACATGTGGAGCCCGTTGGCCTGTAGGACAAGGAACCAGCTGCACTTCTTGGTCTCCCCTGGGCGGAGGGCGAGACTTGCTGTATCACCACCGCCTTTCAAAAGAGTTTTTATTTCCCGTTCTTTTCTCATGGAGAGCTCTAGAGTCCAGACCCACATTGGACTCTGCAGACCAGGCTAGCTCCCACTTGCCCTGTGCCTCCTCTCCTGGCTTCCTTAGCTCTGGCTTTTCCAGGCCCTCGGAAGTGCTCACCCACTGTTCAGTCCCGGTGGCAGTTAAGTGTGCCTCCTTGCCTGACGGGGGCTGGGGTGTACTGACAGGCAAGAGTAAGTCCTAGGCTAGAGCCCACTCCAGAAGAGGCCTCGGATCTGGGGTACACAGTGCTAGAAGTCCTCCAGTCCTCCAGAGAGGGGCCTTGCCTGGCAGTCATGGGAAGGAGCTTGTGGCAGCCTTTGTGCCCCCAGGTCCTGCTTGTTCCTGCTGCCTGCATAACCTTCCACCTGTGGTTCCTTGCTTCTTAGATGTAGCAGGGCAAAGGGACAGGTGAATTATATCCAAGCCGCTAAAGGCGAGTGAGGAAACAAGTTGTAAGTGACTCACGTACGCACTTGTGGATGTGTGTGCCTTTAAATACACACCTGAAGAAACGGGAGGCGCTCAGTGCCGGGGTCCCTATGGTTCTGCTTCCAGCAGCCCTGGGGCCTGCCTTAGAGATCCTGTACAAACCAGCATTCTCACAGAGATTTCCAGGTGCCCGAGTGTTAAAGTGTATCTGGTTTGTACTTTGAGAAGGCAGTTTAAATGGTTCCCAAAAAAACATGGAAAGCCAGTGCTTCTCAACCTTAAAACCGTAAAATTATTTTTGTTGGCTGCTTCATAACTGTAATCTTGCTACTCTTATGAATAGTAATGTAAATGTTTGGTAAATAACATAAATATCTGTTAGGAATGGTGATGTAAATATTGTGACCCACAGGTTGAGAACTGTGGATCTAGAGAGACAATGTCATTTCTCAACCACATCTCTGACACTCCCAGACTACATGCTGGATATTAGGCCTCTTTGTACTTCTTCAGAAGGGTTGGTTGTTTGTGTTTGTGGTACTGAGGGTCAAACCTAGGCATGTTAGGCAAGCATTCTATCACTGAGCTGCATCCCTAAGAGTTTTTTTTACCTTATATCTTCTTTACTTATATCCTGCATGGCAGGGTCTTCCCATGTAGCCAAGGGTGACGTTCAACTTTTGGTCAACTTGGGTAGCTCGGATTTCAGGAGTGTGCAGCCACATGTAGAACTAGTAGACGCACGCATTTCGAATAAGGATGGTTAAAAAGTGCCCACACGGCAGGTGAGGGTACATGCATCAAGGGCTTGCTTGCCCTGGGCAGTGTGCTTCTGAGTTTGGACACGCCTACCATGTGCCCCTTTGCCACACTTCTTGGACCAGCATTCTGAGTGACACAGGCAGGCAAGGCTTACCTCGGTATTACAGAGCTATGGTCACCCCTGCCCTCGTTTGTATGACTGCTCGGGTGCCTAGGGGGTGGGGCAGTGAGCAGCACTGTGTGTCTCCCCAGACTGGGCAGTTGATACTGTGCCATGCTCTGTTCCCTTACTCCCTCTCTGTAAGGCTCTGTCTTCTGTTTCCATAAGGGTCCCCAAAATCTCCACAGTCTAGGCAACACACTTCGTCTAGAACAGCCCATCTTCTGGCCATTCGAGAAACTGACATTTAAAAGATTTTTTTTTGA